CGGTGAGCCGAGATCGCGCCATTGCACTCCAGCCTGGGTAACATGAGTGAAACTCTGTCTCAAAAAAAAAAAAAAAAAAATTGATCAGTCACAAGCCCCGTGCTTGGTGCCACAGCTCTTCTTTTCTTTCTCATTGACTGCGTTATTTTATCTATGGAACAGGTTAGTAAAGCAGTAATTCCTGAAAATTTTATTACTGAGCCCAATTAGTAACTGATATGTAAGGGCTTTAATTATCTGAAGCAATACAGGTTTTAGTTGGTGACAACAACTAGACTCCTGAAGGCTGTTTCTTGGGCTACTACCTGCTAGGTAGCTATTATTCATCACACTTCACATGTTAATAAAAAGCAGTTTTCTATTAACCTTAAAAACAAAACAGCAAATAGAAGGAACAATTGTACATGTTTTTAATCAGCCAAAAAATGTTTAGACAACTGTACAAATATTAATAGACATCATGTTTTCCACAAAATGGTAGATAAATTTAAAACACAGTAGTATGGTGGTTAAGGGTCCAGACTCAAGGGAAAAAAAAAAGACTGCCTAAAGGAAAATCACAACATGCACAAAAATAGGGAAGACAGTATCATGAATCCCACATACTCATCACAGGCAGCAATCAACTTGTAGCCAACCTTGTTTCAGATACACCCCACCCACTTTCCCACAACCCACTCTGAACTATTTTGAAGCAAATTCCAGCCTTCATATAATTTCATTTGTAACTATTTCAATATATATAAGCACACAGACTCTAAGTTACACAGATCTGGAGTCAAATCCAAGCTCTCCCATCTACTAGCTGTAAGACCCTGGGCCACTGACTTCACTTCTTTGAGCCTGTCTTCTATTTGCTAAATGGGGATAGTAATGGCTGCTTCACAGGATTGCATTATGAGCAAAACGAGATAAAGTATCTAAAGAACTGACCCTAGTGCACACAAAAAGTAACTAATACACAGCAGCTGTGGTTATTACTAACAAACTAGCCAAATCAGAGCTACCTCTATTTAAATTATGAGGTGTCCAAACAAACAAGCCTCTTCAGCTGCAATAATGGCATCCCTGTGCCACCCACATGTACGTATTATCAACTCATCAAGACAGAACTCTTTCTCTTTTATGATGAGTCTCACAAAGAAAATCACTGGTATCAATATCCACATATTTTAAAGAGACGCTAACCTCTCTATGCTGAACTTGTAGAAAGAGAAACTAAAAATGATTTGTAATTAATTTGCAAATATTCACCATCAAGAGCTTAAGGGTAAAGAGGTCCAGAGAAAATCTCCATGGATAAAGGTGGTGGAGTGCTGCGCAGTTTCTTACCACCCTACATAGGTGCAGGAAGGAGGTGCTTTTCTATTACCTTAAACCAAGAGAAAGGAGGTTTTAAGAGAGGCCGTAAGAGAATACAACCTGTTTGCCCTGGAAATTCTATCTGTAGAGTACAAAGACTAGTGTCTGACCCCATTAAGAAGCAGGACAGAGCAGCATGAGGTGGCCAAGTGGAGGTAAGCGGCATGTCCTGCCACGGTGAAAGGGGTCCTCCTCCCTGCTGATGGTCACCCACCGTGAGGCAGGTCCCAGCCGGGGAAGGGAAGATTTCCTTTTGGAATGAAGTTCAAAGTGGACATTTTAAGTGCTGAAATTAGACTCCTCTTGTGACTATAAATGGTAAAAGAACTTTTTTAAAATCTAAAGTGATAGAAAAAGTTATAGAATATATATTATAGGACACATATATATGATACGATATATATAGGATATATAGTCCATCCAACAAGGAGGAAAAAAAAGAACCCACAGAATGAGCTCAAAGGGGGAACTGGAAGCCAAAATTAAGTTGATGTTTCTCTTCTATCCCATCCTACCCTTCTAATGAAAGTAAGGAATATCTTCTACACATTAATAAAATGTAGACAGTACCAACACTCACTAAATTATATAAATAATATATGCTCAGGTATTAAACTATGACTTGTCACTTCTAAAACAAATAGCTCTTCTGAATGGACCAGGTGCAGTGGCTCATGCCTGTAATCCCAGCACTTTGGAAGGCCAAGGCAGGCAGATCACTTGAGGCCAAGAGTTCGAGACCAGCCTGGTCAACATGGCGAAACCCCCCTCTACTAAAAATACAAATATTAGCCAAGACTGGTGGCACATGTCTGTAATCTGAGCTACCTGTGAGGCTGAGGCATGAGAACTGATTGAACCTGGGAGGCAGAGGTTCCAGTGAGCCAAGATTGTGCCCCTGCACTCCCAATCTGGGCAACTGAGCAAGATTCTGTCTCAAGAAAAAAAAAAAAAGAGTAATTCTCCTGACTATATATTAGAAAAGCTGCTTTTACTTTTACTTTTATTTTTAATGGACTAACAGCAACTAAGTGATGCTTCCATGAAAAACTTTACCCATTCTACCCAAAAGAACGGAACAAACAGTCAATAAAAATTGAAGAGACAGAGACAGAGAGGAAAATAGGAGTCATGTGCCCCAAGATGACTGATCCAAGGACAGCAACTACATGGGCAAGGTCCTTTGTTAAGCACTAAAACAGTACTTAAGGGGCAAAGCAGGATTTCCTGCCCTTAAGGACTTTGGATGAAACACAACAGCAAACTCCAGAGATAAACACACAATCTTCTGGAGGAGGGGAGGGAACGAGAAGAAATGCAGAACTGAAAAGAGCCAAAGGCCTAGTAAAGAATCTTGGTAAAGGCTACTGTGAAGTCAGATGAAGACAATTCCTGGCTCTTTGAAAACTCGTATCTTAGTCTATCAGTTATAATGAAATATTCTGTAGTTTCTGAAGCATTCCTACATTGGTTTTGGAAGCTCATTCCATTTAAGATCAGTCCTCCTTTGGAGGCAGAGTTATTCATTACTTTCAACTATGGAACACTATACTGACCTTTATAATAAAAAGTGTGAACACTGTGACTGCATTTTGAATTATAAGTAGGCACGAATTCATTCTTGGAAAATACTAAATGCCAAACTGCAGCTGCCTCTATTTAAATTATGGGGTTCTCAAACAAATGAGTCTCTTCAGCGGCAATAATGGCATCCCTATGCCATCCACCTGTACAAAGACAGGTGACAATTCTCATCCAGAGCATGTCATCTCCACAGCTTCTCGCATAAATTCTAGACAATCAGCCCTCAGTCTTAGCACTAACTAGCCACGACCCAAATCAGTCACAGAACACAGTGTACATGGTACCTAGAGGGTTCAGGTTCATTTTTAGCAGAGAGGACTCCAATGTGTTACATGAAGTTTTATGTTGCTATCATAACACAGCTGATAAAACTATTTCTTGTCAGAGTGATCATGAATAAAAGTTAAGTCTAAATTTCAATTCTGACCTACTAAAACGATTCAGGTAATTGATTCCTATGTAAGTCAAGGCAATCAAATTTACTTTTGGTGACGGAATCATAGAACTAGATTACTTCCCAAAATAAAAAGTAACAAGTAGTAGCTTGTGGATGTGAGTGAGAATGACAGTGAGAGTGTGAGTGTGTGTGCAAACAGGCACATGGAGATTTTGCCAATTCTCCATCTGGAAGCCATGATGTAACAGGATAATCGCAAACTGCATTCTCACTGTTTAAGTCCATGAATAATGCCCAGATAATCTAGCATGACTTCAAAAAGAAATGAATTGTGACGTGTAACTGAAGCTCACACAATCAGTCATTTATAGTAGATTGATTTTCCAAGGTACTTTTAGCAATTCAAAAGATATCTTGGATGGAAGGTAAGAAGAAATAACACATGAAAAAAAGCAGTTTGTTTCCCACTGTTAAGTCAAAGAAGATAAGATTCCTCAATGATAGCTCTTTTATCCTATAATCAACAATCCTTCAAAATAAAATACAGCTAGTCTAAACCAACTAGATGAATAAAAAGGCATCTTCCATCTAATCATGATTCATATTTACAATTACTGTCTATTTTAAAAGAATCTACTTCAAACATGACTTTCCTCCCCCATCCCCGCCACCAGGGCAAGAAGACTATAGGTCATACAGAAGGCAAAGTACATCTCGAGGTGGGATGAAACATTCGAGATGTGATTCTCTTCTTTAGGCCAGTGAAGTCACCTGGATGTAGAGGAAAGAACTTCCTTTCTTTCCTCTTCTTATTCTGAAGTCTGAAAACCAAGCTCCCAGAAACACTTTTATCTAAGGGCAAAGGAATGATGATCTCCCCAGGGGGAGAATATAGGAAATGATCATAAAGTACTAAAAGTGACTTTTACATAAATGTGCCAGAACTAACACATACAAATGGATGTTGCCCCCTTCAAAGTCATTATCTTGGAAATTATATACTTATTCTAATGACGGTATTATGGGCACTTTGGAATTTGTTTCAGAGCCCAGAATGTTCCACATCCCTAAAGCTAGCAAGTGTTTGTCTTCTCAGGTTGAATTTAGCAAGTCAAAAGTGTTCCAAGTAGCTGTGCTTTTTGTTGGAAAACCTTTCTTGACATGCCAAATCTAGGTTACATGTCCCCTCCTAAAGGATCCCTGGACTTCTCCCAGCAGAGTACTTTTCATTCTCTCTTTGGAATTGCTTACTTATTCATCATCTGTCTCTCTGACAAAACTGTAAACTTCAACAGAGCAGGGAACTTTTCTATCTTCTTTATTATTAAACCCCTGGTCCCACCATAGAGCCTAGAAGATCATAGGCAGCCAAGAAATAATGAATGATGCAAGCTATTGTAATGTAAAATGGTTTGCAATACTATGTGTGCCTTCTCTATTTACCTTCCCTACTCCTCTAAGAAAAGAGTTTTTAATATGCCTCTATGCAATTACATATCTACATATATCTTATACACAGGAATTTTACACTTTCAAAGTGATTGGATTTTCATTATTTATTTATATACAAAAAAAGCAAAAATCATGATTATATCTTCACAGACTAAAAACTGACAACTTTTTCCCTCCCAAATTTGCAAGCAGAGTAGTATCTTACCTAGCTGCAATATCTTTATAGTGTCCCTGTAGGCCTTCATCACCAGCTTGAAATGGCGATAGAGTGGGTAACACAATACCCTTCTTCCAAAAGACACCAGGATATCATGAACATTAGTCCAAGTCTGTGAAGTATCATTTTAATAAGCAGTCATTTCCGTAACATGTTACACAAACAAAAGCACACAATGAAATAGGAAGCTTTTCTCATTTAAAAGCTGTAAGTTTGGATCATCGTGAAGCCAAGTAGAAGAGAAACATAAAACCATGAATTAAGATTCTTTTTGTATATCTTACAATAAGACATTGAATCTTAGTCTTTGTAATTTCTCACACTGTCAATACATCACAAATGTTGAAAGAAAGTTTTTTAAAGTCCTAAAGATTACAAATAGGAATCTAGAACACATGGCATTAACAAAATACAGATGCACATAAAGGACATTTTAAAATAATTTATACTTCATGTTTTTGTCTTCTAAGGCCATTCAAGATGGCACAGATAAAAAATGCAGAACTCGCCAGGCGCAGTGGTTCATGTTTGTAATCCCAGCACTTTGGGAGGCCGAGGTGAGTAGATTACCTGAGGTCAGGGGTTCGAGACCAGCCTGACCAACATGGAGGCTGAAGCAGACAATCACTTGAACCTGGGAGGCAGAGGTTCAAGTGATCTGGAGTCAAGATCACACTACTGCACTCCAGCCTTGGTGACAGACTGAGACTCCATCACATAAACACACACACACAAATGTAGAACTCCTTAGTGAAGTATGTTCAGTCTCCTCTCCTCGTTTTTTTTTTTTTTTTTTTTTTTTTTTTGCATTGGACATAAATAATACAAGATATTTACTCGAGTAATTTGTTCTTGTTTATCGAACTGATTTCTAGGAAAAAAGGTGTTTTATCTTGAATGGTATCAAACTGATAACATTAGCAATTCAAAACTTACTGAAAATACTAGACAATAGAAATAGTTCCACAAAATTGTTTCTTTCATAAAGTATAAAAAATGTAAACCATATGTAAAACTTAAAACCAAGGGAGAAAGATAATCTAATGTACATTAATCCTTAAAGCTATGAGAGATCTGATTAAGAACACTGAGTATTTGACATAGTTTAAAGAGAATCATGAACTTAAAAAAAATTCTAGCAAAAAACTAATACTTAACAAAAGTTTAACACAGCTAATGTCCAACAATTTTAAATTATCAATAAAAACAATAAAAATGTCACAATAAAATCATAAATAGGTAAATTTTCATGTAGATGTTTTATAACTACACCACAAAGTTATCTAGTCACCAACTACTTTCAACATATTAATAAATGCTATCACAGAAACTCATTCCTCAATTATATGCTGATCACGGCAACATGAGGAACTCCAAGGAAACCTAGAGAGCAGCACTGTTTGTCTTCAATACGCATATAAACCCCCTGGAGATCTTGCTACAAATTCTAGTTCTGATTCAATGGGAGTGAAGTGGGACTGCAATAAACTCTGTCTTTCTAATGCGCTCCCAGCTGAAGCTGCTGGTCAGGTTGTTGGTCCTTGGATCATTTTTGGAGTAGTAAGATTCTATAATAAAGTAAGTGTTTCAGTTCCTGTTTACATCTATACAATCATCAATTTTTTTTCCTTTTTTTTTTTTTGAGATGAAGTCTCGCTCTATCACCCAGGCTAGAGTGCAGTGGCTCGATCTCGGCTCACTGCAACCTCCACCTCCTGGGTCCCAGCTATTCTCCTGCCTCAGCCTCTCAAGTAGCTGGGACTACAGGCACCTGCCACTACACCCAGTAATTTTTGTATTTTTTAGTAGAGACAGGTTTTCACCATATTGGCCAGACTGGTCTCAAACTCCTGACGTCGTGATCTGCCCACCTGGGCCTCCCAAAGTGCTGGGATTACAGGAGTGAGACACCGCACCCGGCCGAATCATCAATTATTTAAGTTGATACATTTTAAAAATTTCTGCTTCTAATTACTGTTTTGATGTACAAATTTGTTCAAAATGTACAAATATAAAGATATTGTCCTTTGGTATTTTTGGTGAGACCTGCACAACTATTTTTCAGAAAACAGAAACACAATTACAACTATACTGAAAGAGATATCAAATGTAACCAGACTACATTTGAATTGTAGGACCTAGGATGTTATCTAAACTATATGATCTAAGTTTCCTCACCTATAAAACCTGCAATGCTTACCTCACAGGCTTATTGAGAACAGGTGAAGTTTTTATATATATACACACATATATTTTTAAAATCATATAAAAAACATTATTTTATGTGTGTGTGTATGTGTGCATGCTTAGCACAGGCTCTAATGGTCACTTATCACCTAGGTTTCCTTCCATCTTTAAGCTTCAAGCCCCAATACACACCAACTTACAAACACACCTCTTACTCTGCCCCACATTCTCCCCCAACAAACCATGTCTCCAGCCTCTCTCCAAAGTGTGTTTCCCTCCCCCAACTTCCAAAATACCCTACCTGGTTTCATTATCAGAACTGTATTTAAAAGACAGAAATCATTCCTGTACAATAGAGCTTTTACTTTTAAAAATTCAAGGAATTGCTTTAATTACTCCAAATAAAGTAAAAACAACAAAAATAACTTCCTGAACAACAAACTCTAAACAATTGCAACTGGAAATCATACCTCAAACCAGCATAGTGTTGGACTCAGTTTCCTGATATTCCATGCAGATTCAACCTTGATTTGTTTTGGAGAAAAGAGTACCATCACATTAGAGGTAAAGTCATTTAAAAATAGACAAAACAAATCCATTTATTCAACCAGTGTCTGAGGATCACCGATATATGAGAACAAAGAAGTGTTCACAACTATAGAAAAATAATTGCTTTGCTGATGCACAGTCTATTAGAGGGAAGTTTCTGCTTACTTTCCTCGGGATTTTAGACAATAAAACTTTTCTACTGATAAGAGTAGCAGAACATAAGAGCAAACAAGCAGGGGCTTTGAAACTAAAAGTTAAGGCAAAGTAATTCCTGCTCAATTTCCATCTTTTCTGAAGTAAGCTACATGCCTCCCAAACAATCCATAAATATTCTATCAAAGGAATCAAAGATAAAATTGAAGTATTATCTGTGGCACTTAAGAAGCTGCTAGAAAATGTGACTTTTCAGAGAATGCTGGTGAGAATAAATACATTCCAGAGAAGCTCTCAAGTTGTAAGACTTCATGATTTCAAATACGTGAATATAAGAATAAAAAATGGTAAATTTTTTCAAGCATAAACACTCATGTTTTCAAGATTTAATATGAAGCATTTTTTTTGTCAAAGAAAACATTTTCTGCAATTATAGTATCTTTAAAAGATGAGTGAAAACAAAAAGTGTTTTCAGATAGATTATGCCCTTAACGCACTCAGTAACAGTCATCTTAGACACAAACGTCAAGAGTCACCCTAGATATTTTCAGAGTCATGACAACAAAAAAATTGGTACACGGAAAATTCTAACTCTAATACAACGTTAGTGCTATGACGCTGAATGAAAAAAGCAGGTTAAATAGTATATACATTAGAACCCAAGGTAAATACACACAATATAGACACACACGTGCACACTGAAGTAAGACTGGAAAGAGATACGTCGCCATTTAACAGCAGTTATTTCTGATGACTAAAATTACAGGAAATCTTAATTATTTTCTTCATGTGTATATTTTCCTTTACAATGTGAATTATCTGTGTAATTCAAAAAAGGAAAGCATATGCTCAGATCAAAAATAACCTTTTGAGCAAGGACAATTATAAACAGCTGCATGGCCACACTAACAAAAAGCCTGTTTTTTGGTTTCCAGCCTTTTTAAATACACAATCGGTGGTATAGGTGAGAAGGATGTTTAGCTCTTCATTTACAAAATCAAATATGGTTTAAGAAGAGATACAAAAGAAGTCTTATTTTTTAAAACATGGTTTAAGAATTTTCAAAAGGATTTACTTGTATAATATGATCCGTGTAAATAGCAAAAAAAGATATAATTCAGGTTTTAAAAACACTGATTTACATATAATTTTTCAGAAGTACACATACTCTATGAAATGAGGATACTTGCAGGTAAATACTAAGATTTATTTTGTAAAATGCCGTATTTTGCATCTGTTGACTTCTTGCTGAGACAAAGAATATAACCGGCTATGGTAGTTTACCCCCTTGCCAATGTGAAGTGTCATGTGACAGAGCACTTCTCTGGCCTAAAAGAGATGAGAACTCAGGGTGGCCTTCCTCTGTACTCTCACCTTTACTCCCTTAAACTTTCCTACTCTGCTATTTTGCAGAGACTAATGCCAAGAGAAAAGTAAAAAAGACCAACTAAGCAACGTATGCTTGCACGTGGGTACCCACCACCACCACAACTCTGCGGGGGGGCATCCCCTAAATAACTAATCACCACTGGTTCTACTCCAGACAAGGGACTGGTGCTTTCATGCAGTTTACTCATCCGCACAGTAATCTATGGCAACACGCACACACACGTGCACTTACGTTCTTCTCTCCTTCAGTGACACGGGTTTCATAGCAATATGCCAGAAGGATATCAATCAAACTGTAGTACACTTGACGACAGGCTCTCTTGTCCAGCAGATAAGATTTATTGACAAATTTTCTTAGCTGGTATTTCTCTTCTTCAGAAAAAGACACTAGAAGAAAATCCATTTAAAAATTAGATATTTCATTCAGCTTTGTAAAACCCCCAATGTGGAAGATTTGTCAAAATTAGAACTTTGATTCTAGAAACTGAAATAAAAGTTATTTCTACTTAACTCTGGATATATAAATAACTTCTTAAGTAGACTTTACAGTTTCAGTAAGAGCCATGAATCTGCTCAAATCCTAATAGGGCTGAATAAAGAAGACTTTTCTAAATAACATCTATTCCTTAATTCCCGACCCTCTCTTTTTTGCTACACTGTTCTGTATTTAAGGCATCTGAATGCCAGTTACTGACTTTAAAACTCAGATAATACATTTTGACAACAGAAAGTGCTAACTAAAGCACTCTGAAAATATTCATTATCCATTTTGAAAGTTTTATACCAAGAAATAGGAATATTCCCAGATATTAATCAATGTTAAGGGTATAGTATTTTCTCATAATGTTTATCAAGTTTTACATATGACCACATCGCATTCATTAGACTTGTGGAAAGAGACTGTTTACAACACAGTTCCTTTTTCCTTTTCTTCTTTTGCTTGTCACCTCTCTCCATCTGAATATTTGTCAACAGCCTCTCACACACTAAAAATCTAGTATGTATCATTCCGGTTTTCTCTACAGACATGTAATCATATACAGACACACAAGCATACATACTAGGGACTTTATACTTCCTACACCCTCCCTTGACCCAAAGAACTAGGTCATTTTTCTCCATCTCGGCCTTCTCACTCAACAAAGTTGAATTACCTCTGGCAGATCCCTAAAAGTCAACTGGTGTGTAGCTAATTTTTGTAAAGGAGTATAATATTCCAAAACGTACCATGCTCTATCCAACCACTCCCCCTACTGATGGGCATTCACTTTGCTCCTAGTTTTCTGCCACTGCTAATAATGCTGCAATAAATATCCTTATCCTATGTCCTTGGATATTAGAGGCTTCATTTCCATAAAGGAGACTCTTGAGACTGGACTGACTGCTTTAAAAATGTATCTGTTTTAGAAATATACTTTAAAGGCTATAGTAACTCTCCTTTCTCACAGTCACGGATAACAGTTCCACTTCCTACACACACCTCCCACCTCCCCCTGGCAAGAAACATAATAGCTTTTTTTACAATCATTTCCAGATTGATAAATTGAGCATGGTAGGCAGAATTCTAAGATGACCTCCAATGAGTCCTATCACTATGTGGGGATGGAGCTTATGACTTGCTTCTGTCCGACAGAATATGGCCAAGGCAATGGGATAGTCATTCCCATGATTACATTCCATTATTAGCAGACTGAAGCCAGGGACTCACCTGATAGTTTTGAATAAGGAAGATATCACATAGTCAAGTGAGAAAGCCTGTGAGAAGGCTATGTGGAAGGAACCCGTAGCAACCTCTAAGACCTCAGAGTGGGCCCCAGCTAACAGCCAGCAACAAAGTAGGGACCTCAGTTCTACATCTGCAAGGAACTAAATTCTGCCAACAACCATGTGAGACTGGAAGAAGACCTTGAGCTCCAGGAAAGAATGCAGCCTCCAATATCTATTTTAAAAAAAATAAGGACATCTTTGGCTACAGCCTTGCAAGACCCTAAGGCAGTGGACTCAGCAAAGCCAGGCTCAACTTCTTACTCACAGAAACCGAGATTATGAATGTACATTGTGTGAAGCTTGCGGTAATTTGTTGTGCAGCAAGAAAAAACTAAAACGGTGACTTATCATGGTTATTTCACTTAGTATTTCTCCAACTGCTCGACTTTGAGCACTAGTTCATCAGTTTGTAGGCAATCTGGATTTGTACTCTTATGAGTGACCCATTCTAATGTGTTTTGTCCAGTTTTTCCTATTGGTTGGCTTATCTTGTCAAATTAAGAACCATGCATATTATAAACTGTAATCATCTTTCCAAAGCTACCATATCGCTACTGACTTTCTTTATGGTACCTTTTGCTATATGGTAAAAATGTCAAATACGTCCTTTTTTTTTTTTAAGACAGATTCTGGATTTATAGCTTTAGTTAAGGTTTCCCCAATACTTGAATTGTACATGAAGTCTCTTTAAGATTAAATTCACTATCCATTAAGTGGAGGTACAGCATCATAAAGGTTACCATCCTGGTCTTCACACTGAGTAGGCGGAGAAAAGGAGGAAGAGGAAGGGTTGGTCTTGCTATCTCAGGGGTGGCAGAGGCAAAAGAAAATCCCCATATAAGCAGACCCATGCATTTCAAACACGTTTTGTTCAAGGGTCAATTGTATTTAATTTAAAACTTACTAGACTTAATTAATAAGACAGATAAACTGAGTGTTGATTGCCTCATTGGAGGACAGATCTGAAGATTCCTTAATTTAAATAAAAGCTCTCAGTTCACTTAAAGCAATTTGATTTAAGGAAATGGCATGAAGGAATATACTCAATGCGTGAAGAAAGCATACCTGACAAAAATATTTTAAGACTCCTTGTATTTAGCAAGAAGGTTTGAGACAGTATTCCCTTAGGTATGATCTTTGAGATGTTCATTAATTTAGCTAATGGGAAAATGCCAGGTGTTCATGATATCTGACTAAAGTCTTTATATCCTAGTTGACTAATAAAGACCCCTGCTTCCACATAATTCTCAATCACAATATAAGCATATCCAGAAACTATTTAGCAACATGTCAACTCTCTACACATTCATGCCTTCATTTTTATGTAATCATACCTATAGATGTTTAACCATTGTGAAAGTTGACCTGGGCACTGCAGGTTCTGATGTTACATTACCCACACGTAAGTGTTTCTACATTAGCCATTTTAGGTAACTGTGCTAAGAAAAATCTACTTGAATCATTCTTCTGAATTCGTGGATACTAGATACTGCTAGACTTTCCCTAAAATACTTCTACCTTTTTCTGAGCATTTATAAGTTCCATTGTGGCCTACTTCATTAATAATACACAAATGCACTTAAATTCTGAAATTCAAGCAAAGAAATCAGAGATGATAAATAACAATAACAACAAACCAGGAAATCACTAGAGAAACCAAAAGTCTGGGCTCCCTAAGGCCTTTTTTATTAGAGCTGTAAATCATATCACTCAAAGGGGAACTTGGGGGAAGTTTGCACACAATCAAGTCTAACCTAGCAGCAGTACTGGAAATAACTACAGATGCAGTGCCAACAATGCTTGGATGATTGCCACCATGAGTAACATTTGTCAAGCATTTGTATGACTTAGCCACACTACAAAGCAGCTTTGCTATACAGTTCACAAGATTTCGGTTAATTATACTTTTAAAAAATATCTTCAGTGAAACAAAAGTCAGTCGAAATCTCAATACATTTGAGGAGGAATCTGGTGCCCTAACATTGAAGCAAATGGTCGAGGACCACCTCCCAACATGAAAAACCCCACCAGTATGTCTGAAGGCTGCAAAGGGATTCTCATTAAAATGGAAAGATGTCTACAAGGTAGTCACTTTTTCTCCCAAATATTTTCCAATTTTTTAACCTTTAAATCCTCCCTTCCTCTCTAAATCCCCCTCCCAAACATCCCTCTTATCTGGGTCAACAATTAAATCACACAGGATCCTGATGCACTCAGAGTAATGCACATCTGTCTATGACATTGTACATTTACTGGAACCAGATCAAGGGAACCAGAAAAAAAACGTGCTGCATTCAAACCTTCACCCTAAATGGGTAGCCCTGCAGTGCTACAACTTTCAAAGTTGACACTGACAGTTATCTCTACAAACACTGAAGGGATCACTGGTGCCAAACAGGATGTCCCTGCTAGGAAGTTCATTGACTATAAATGTTATGTGGTGTCATAACAAGTAATAACGTGCCAAGACTCTGGAGCTCCAGATTAACCACCGACAGACAACATGGGAAATGCGGTAAGTTCATCCTTATGAAACCAGAGCTCAGGGGAAGCACAGCATTTAACACTTCCATTTACAAGCCTTTGGGGAGGAAAATCTGGATCACTACAAAGCTGGAGAAAAGTCTCCCTGTTGTAACTCAGGGCTGTGATGAAAATGACAAGAACTACCACCAAGGGAGAAAGGGAGGGAGCAAAGTTCATCACCTAAGGCTTATCTGGAATTCAAAGCAATCTAGGTTAATATTTTATGATGCAGAATGAATCAAAAGTACACCCCTCACCTGCACTGTTATATCTGCCTGGTGACACCTGATGAGGAGGTGTTAAACAGACAGCAGACCACTGTTATGACACAAAGAGGAAAAGGGCCAGAGAGGTAAAGAACAAAAAGGAAGAGTAGGAGAAAAGGTACAGCGGTACGCACCATGCGTAAGCAGAAAACTGAAGTTTATTTTTTGGTCTACTTCTTTTCTCCCATATTTTATCCTGGCTCAACACACTGTTAATGTATTCCTGTAATGCTGTGTGTCTCAAATATCTGAACCAGAATTTTTTAAACGAGAGAGAAATCTTGTTTACAAAGAAGTTTCCCTAAAAACTTTCTAAATGTATAAAAATCGTCATTTCACTGAGAAACCATATAACTCCTGGCTCTCCTGTGACTGATTTTACTCTACAATAATAATTTCTAACACAAGATTTTAAATACTTCGTTTCATTCAATCTCAGGACAACTCTGAGGTAGGTACAGGATTTCCACCGTAACCGCAATTTGCAAGATCATATATCGCAAGCATGTGGTAGAATAAGAAGTCCAACCGCAAGCCTACATTTAATTTATCTATTATACTTGGTATTATTAGAAGAGACACTCTGTTCAACACAAAGCTCAAGTTCTTCTACCTTAGGTCACACGTCCTTGCTACTTTTAAAGGTGATTTTTAGAATGAATTACCATAATGGCTTTGCAGACTATGACTGTTCCTGATGCACCAGCCTGGCTATAAGCCATGGGTCAGATGCAGGGTCAGGAGGGCAGGTGGTTAAAAGGACTGAGTGGCTTCATCTCCTGCTAAAATTACACAAAGAAAACTAACTCAAAGCATTGCTGACACAGAAAACCGGACTGAGAACAAGCTACAATTTATCAAAGTAGAGCAAGTTAGAATTTAAATCAAAGGGAATGTCTTCTCTTGATTTTTAGGGCAACTGGCTCACCCTGGTGGACAGAAAACTCAACTACACAACCATCAATTTTCTCCCACACCACCTCATTAAAATACTCTGCTAAAATTAGGGAAACTGACTCAGACCAATTGATATACTTGACGATTTAAGTTTGCTCAAGCTTTATAACCAGATCTACCTAGCATATATAGTTAACTATCTAAAATGTGTTAGCAACTCTATACCTCAAAATTTGTCTAAAATGTGAGATGTCTCCGAAAGCTGCTTAAACTCAAATATAAGTCAGGATTTGCTTGTTGAAAACAACTAATAAATCTATAGCAAGAGTCACTATAATGAGCTTCTGCTATGCAACAGAATTAATCCCCTGTTTTTTTGGTTTTTTTGTTTTTTTTTTTTTTCAGAGGGAGCCTTGCTCTGTCACCCAGGCCGGAGTGCAGTGGCACAAATTCAGCTCACCACAACCTCTGCCTCCCAGGTTCCAGTGATTCTCCTGCCTCAGCCTCCTGAGTAGCTGGAACTACAGGCACACACCACCATGCTTGGCTAATTTTGTATTTTTAGTAGGAACAGCATTTCTCCATGTTGGTCAGGCTCGTCTTGAACTCCCAACTGCAGGTGATCTGCCCGCCTCAGCATCCCAAAGTGCTAGGATTACAAGCGTGAGCCACCGTGCCTGGCAATTTTTTTTTTTTTTCAGTAGAGACAGGGTTTCATATTACAGTAGCAATTTTTTGATCTGGTAGAAATCACCTAAACTTTAATAAAACTTAACCATTAGGCCGGGCGCAGTGGCTCACACCTGTAATCCCAGCACTTTGGGAGGTCGAGGTGGGTGGATCATGAGGTCAAGAGATCGAGACCATCCTGGCCAACATAGTGAAACCCCGTCTCTACTAAAATGCAAAAATTAGCTGGATATGGTGGTGTGTGTCTATAGTCCCAGCTACTTGGGAGGCTGAGGCAGAAGAACTGCCTGAACCCGGGAGGCAGAGGTTGCAGTGAGCCAAGATGGCACTGCACTCCAGCCTGGCACCTGGCAACAGAGCAAGACTCTGTCTCAAAAAAAAAAAAAAAAAAAAAAAAAACCTTACCCATAAAAACATTTATTATAAGGCCGGGCGCGGTGGCTCAAGCCTGTAATCCCAGCACTTTGGGAGGCCGAGGCGGGTGGATCATGTGGTCAAGAGATCGAGACCATCCTGGTCAATATGGTGAAACTCTGTCTCTACTAAAAATACAAAAAATTAGCTGGGCATGGTGGTGCGTGCCTGTAATCCCAGCTACTCAGGAGGCTGAGGCAGGAGAATTGCCTGAACCCAGGAGGCGGAGGTTGCGGTGAGCCGAGATCGCGCCATTGCACTCCAGCCTGGGTAACATGAGTGAAACTCCGTCTCAAAAAAAAAAAAAAAAATTATTATAATACTTATAGATATTTATTATCCTTATATAACAGGCACTATACTAGACACTGAAAAAATAGCAGATAACAGGTTATTCCATTGCCATGCAGAAAATAAAAAACTGTGATACAATAGAGACCCTGTAGCTACTTTAGAATGAGTGGTATGTATAGACCACTATACATAGAAGGCCACTATGTATATTATTTGCAATCGCAGAAAACCGGAAGTAAACCAGATGTCCATCAGTAGTAAACAGCCCAAATATCCATTAATCACGATAAAAATATCCAACAGGATATTAGGTAGTCATGAAGAGCTTCAGGTAGATCTGTACAAACTGATATGGAAGATGTGCAACATACTGCAAATTGCAAACAGCGAGGTACGAACTGGGTATACATGAGTCTATGTGTAGACATTTCTTAAAGCAACTATTTTAGATGTGGGAACATATTTTAAAAATATCCCCAAAACTGCTAATAGTGATTACTTTTGGGAAGAGGAACTTGGGGTGGGAAGAGTCTATAGTCCATTTAATATTCTTCAGAATGCACATATATGTATGTATTCCCTTCATTTAAATGTTGCAATTTTATTTTTAATATGTAAATAAAAGCCAAATCAGTATGACAGAAAATATGGGTGCTCTCTTCTTGATCTGTCTGCAAATGTTATAATTCTAATTTACAGTCTTAATATATCAATGCTGCACTTAGAGAAGGTGGTAATAACATGTCCATCTAGGTCTTTTCCCACCATTACTAATACTCAAATGTCTTTACCAAAGAAGAATGTTCATACCTCTTAAGCAGGTTATTGAGAAATTACAAATGTCCTGTGTGATAATATCCCTAAACTTAGGTTGTAAAAAATAAATAACTGTAAGAAAACTCCAATGATTCTAAAGGAAAATATACTTCAAAAGAATTTTCCAACACAAATCAGCATAATTATTTGGTGGCATTTTCCAGTCAATGGCAAAGATGTCATTTCCAAAATTAGCAATTCAAACTCATATTTTCACATTATAAGGCAATCACAATTACATGCTTAATAGTACGGAAGGCAAGTAAAGTTTGGTACAACGTGAGATTTTAAAATGAAACAAATTAGCTGAATTTGATTTTCTTACCTAATGCAGCATGATTTTCTTGCTCCTGACTCTTTTCCATAAAGGCCGTCATTTTTGAATATATGTCAGTCCACCAAGGATTATACTGCAAAATCTGTTCAACTGCCTCGTCTTCAAAAAAGTCAGCTCTGGGAAAAACATTGAAAGAACTGGTTACATAGGATTTCACTGGCTTTCACTTTTTAAAATTTTATCTTTTTTTTTTTTTTGAGACGGAGTTTCACTCATGTTACCCAGGCTGGAGTGCAATGGCACGATCTCGGCTCACCGCAACCTCCGTCTCCTGGGTTCAGGCAATTCTCCTGCCTCAGCCTCCTGAGTAGCTGGGATTACAGGCACGCACCACCATGCCCAGCTAATTTTTTGTATTTTTAGTGGAGACGGGGTTTCACCATGTTGACCAGGATGGTCTCGATCTCTTGACCTCGTGATCCACCCACCTCGGCCTCCCAAAGTGCTGGGATTACAGGCTTGAGCCACCACGCCCGGCCTAAAATTTTATCTTAACTCATATTTGTACTAGAATTACAGATTTTTAAATTCAAAGTACATTTCAAGGAAAGACTGAACACTATATTTACTTTCTGTTACTAACCACAAACATAAGTTACTTTCCATAAAACAAAACTAAGTATCTAACTAAAGGGATATGTAACATTTCTGATCTCTTTTTTGTTGTTTTTAACTTTTTTTTTTTTTAAAGAGATGGGTCTCACTCCATCATCCAGGCTAGAGTACAGTAGCATGATCATAGCTCACTGCAGCCTCAAACTCCGGGGGTCAAGCAATCCTCCTGTCTCAGCCTCTCAAGTAGGTATGACTACAGGCACATGCTACTGTGCCTGGCTAATTACTGTTTTTCATAGAAATGTGGTCTTGTCCCTTGCCCAGACAAGTCTTAAACCCTTGGCCTCAAGCAATCCTTCCACCTCAGGCCACTGTGTCCAACCTTTGATGTCTTTAAATAGAAGGTACGAAGAAGACCAGTCCTACCCTAAAGTCCCATCCCATATTCGATAATGAGAAATGAAGCAAATCTGAAGACACACGGGACTGAAATCTAGCACTTGTGCTAGGTATGCAAGTATCCCAGACTTTAGTAAAATTTCAATGAAGGAAAAAATTTTTGAACTCTACCAGCAAAGAAAAACAAGCAAATGAGTAGGAAATTCAGGATAGTGCATCTTCTCAAAGAGGCTAATAGAGGCTACACACACACACACACACACACACACACACACACACACACACACACCATTTTTGGCATATGCACTCACATTTTCTACCAAGATACAATCTATTTTATTAAGCTATACTAATTTTAACAGTTCCTTAAACTACTATAGAAGATAAAAGCAACATGTGTAGAGAATAGAAAGCTAATTTTTCTGTACTCTACACTCCCTGTTTTAACTGGAAAATAACAGCTATATTCAAAACATACCTCTCACTCTTGGAGGACACTTACTCAGAAATGATTCTATCTTGCATTCAAAGTTGGAAATTGGTATTCTTGGGAAAAGCATAACAAAGTATAACTCATGGTGAAAATTTCACTTATATTTTAGTTAATCAGAAACTCAAGGAATTGGTTGCTTTGATACATTAAATTTTCTAACTGACAGTTTTACAACCTTAGACACAGTCTTCCCTTTCAACTGAGATACTGAAATCATTTAAAAATTTAAAAAAATCACAGACAACTTACTGAGTTCTTTGTATGTTCCAGGCACCACATTACAAGTTTGTATCCATTATTTCCTTAAATCCTTACACCATCACTATGGGCAGGGGGTACTATTAATACCCTCATTTTATTGAGGGTATTAATAGCCTCATGTAGAAACTGAGGCTCAGCAAAGTTTCGTACCTTGGCTAAGTTCAGAGCACAAGTAAAAGGTGTAGCTAGAATGTGGACCTACTTAATTCCTACTCCAGACTCCAAGCTCTTAACCAACAAAAATATTTCATTTTTATATATGAAGAAATAAAGCACATTTTAGACAAAACTGAACAGCCATAATCTTGAAATGGGAATTCTCAACAGCAATTTCTGACAGGTGCACAGGCATATGAGACTAGGATGAAACAGCTGCTTCGTAAACTAATCTTGTTAAGTCCATTTTCTTATCAGCTATCTCTTTATCCTTAAAGTGAAGAAACTCTTTTGAATTGAGGTTCCACTATAAATTCATCTACAAATCAGAATGTGAGCTTTTCTCTAGGAAATAAATTTCAAAAGGATAAACAATAACAAAATAAATGGCTAAAATGCCATTCATTTGACAAAAAGTACTGACATTGTGCCATGTTCCATGCTCCATGTTAGACACTGGGGTTCCACTGCTGACAAGACACAGACAGTCCTGGCCCTCACACAACTTATAATCCCATGGGAAAGTCAAGCAATTACAATATAGCAAATTGCTATGACATTACAGTACAAGATTCTAGGGTAAAATAAATTAGAATGACATACAAAGACCCTGGAGGAAATAATATCTAAACCAATGGCTGAATGATAACGAACAGTTAACCAGATTCAGAGGGGTAGAAGAGAGTATTCTGTGCAAAACACTGGTTGGCAAAGGCTAGAAAACAAGAAGGCACATTTAAGGAGGGAAAAAGCTGAAAGAGGCTGAAAATAATATAGTGACAACCACCTTATAAGCCGTGTTAAAAAAATTTCAAAGGCTATCTCTATGAACCAAACACGTAAAAGCTTTTACACAGGGGGATGACATTAGCATGGCTTAGAAACGCCACTCTTACTGCAGCCTGGAAAGTAATTTAAAGGGAGAAACCTGGAGAAGCAGAAATAATGGTGGCCAAAAATCAGAGAGCAGCAGTGGACACTGCAAAGCGGAATAGATCTGATCCACATGTAGATGATGGAATCCTCAGGAGGCAGGGAATGAGGAGCTCGAAGAGTGAAGGATGACACTGAAAATTCTGGGCTCCACAACTCAGTGGACAAGTGTCCTTCGTTAAGACAGGGACATAGGAGGGAAGCTAACAGACATGAGTGAGAAATAATGACTCCTACTTGGGACAGGTTGAATATGCCTTTTTTTAGGATTTACCAACAGACCTGTCCAACAGGTAGGTGGACATACAAGTCTGACGCTCAAGAGAGAGACATGGAAGTCTTAAGCATCTAAACCAGGAAGAGGACAAAATTGCCCAGGAAGAACTGGCACAGTGAGAGAAAACGGCCTTGGACACTGCAGTGCAGAGGACACTGAAGGCAAGAGTAGAGGAGCCCATCTGAAAAGATGCTGTTTTCCTCCCCAAGGGACCAAGATGAAGGAAAAAAGGAAACCGGCTTGGTGAAATGGTGTTTCTACCACCTCCATCCACCACTCCTCCAAAATGTTTGATTATTTTGAGCAAAATTTCACTAATACAGTCCTAGTAATCTCAACTGTGCTGGTTTATGCTTGACATTGTCCATGAATTAAGAGTTTCGAACAAGCGCTGATGGTGCCTAATGTTTTACTGACTTTTAAAGTCACTAATTCAACAAGCATTCACTGAATGCCCTCTAATGCACCATGGGGAAGACGAAGATCTGTAAAACTCACTTTCTGCCCTTAAGGACTCCACAATTTAATGAACACCATGTATGTGAATACAGAACATTATAAAACAGTGTGGTGAAAACAAGATAAACTTTAACAGGGGAGCCCTGAGGTAGGCTTCCTAAGCCAGTCTAACAGGGAAGGTGCATGGGAGCAACAACTGAGCCTAAAGAGATAAGCAACCACTATTCAGCCCATGTGGAGTCAGGAAAATAAATGGCAAAGGGATACCATGAGTAAAAGGAAATATATAAGAAGCAGTGTGGGTTGGGCACAGTGGCTCACATCTGTAATCCCAACACTTTGGGAGGCCGAGGCAAGTGAATAACCTAAGGTCAGGAGTTCGAGACCAGCTTGGCCAACACGGTGAAACCCTGTCTCTACTAAAAATACAAAAGTTAGGGCCAGGTGCGGTGGCTCACGCCTGTAATCCCATCACTTTCGGAGGCCAAGGCGGGTGGATCACCTGAGGTCAGGAGTTCTGAGACCAGCCTGGCCAACATGGAGAAACCCCGTCTCTACTAAAAATACAAAAAAATTATCTGGGCATTGTGGCTGTCACATGTAATCCCAGCTATTCGAGACGCTGAGGCAAGTGAATTGCTTAAACCTGGGAGTTAGAGGTTGCATTGCGCCAAGATTGCGGCACTGCACTCCAGCCTGGGTGACAGAGCAGGACTCTGCCTCAAAAAAAAAAAAAAAAAAAAAAAAGTTATTTGGGGACGGATGGTACAAGCCTGTAATCTCAGCTACTTTGGAGGCTGAGGCGGGAGAAGTGCTTGAACGCAGAGGTAGAGGCTACAGTGAGCTGAGATTGCACCACTGTACTCCAGCCTGGGTGACACAGCAACACTGTCTCAAAAAAAAAAAAAAAAAAAAAGAGAAAAGCAGTGTGATACAGGTGGGGAAATGCAAACATTCATTATTGCTGCGGCGTAAAACTTGAGTAAGGAGTGGCAAAAGCGAAGCTACAGAGGTAGGTAAGGTCCAGATCACAGAGAACTTGCAAGGACACACAAAGGAGTGAGGTACTTTAAGCACAAGAGCACCAAGGACAGATTTTCCTTTTAAGCACATAAGACATCATACTGATGATTCATGGTTGATGGATCTGAAGAAGTCCAGACTGGAAGCAGAGATGCCAGTTAGGCAGTTAGTGAGTGCTGCACTAAACTAGACACACATGAGGGCCAGAAATTGATGAAGTGAGAAAAAAAAATTACAGAGATAAATGGTACAACTTCAGGGTTGATTGAATGTGTGAGATAAGAAAGAAGGCAAAGATGAATCCCTGCTTTCTAACCTGGGTGACTACAATGAAAAATGGGGCATCAACCAAGTTAGAAAATTCACAAAGACTTTAGAGGTAAAATGATAAGTTCAATTTTGGACATGTTGAAACAGAGGAGTCAGTGGGATGCCCAGTCACTCTAACCCTTCAATCTGCTTTTTCTTCACAGCACTTGATCACAATAAAAATACTGTCTACTTCCTCCACTATAATGGAAGCCCCATGGAAGACACAGAGATTGAGATCTTGCCGTATTCAGCACGGTATCCTTGGTCTCTGTGACACTGTTTGGCATGTAGTTCGTTCAGACAAATATGTGTTGAACAAATAAATGCATAAATAAAAGAATGGATACGTAAAGTTGTATTCTAATGTTTTTTTTCCTCAAGTTTCATTTTGAATTGAGAGCTACATCAGAAGCACGTGACATTGCTCCCTGCCTTCCAATTACTATTTGTTGTCTTAAGATCTACTCAATAAATCCAAGAGCTTAACCAATATACCATCTTCTTTCACAAATTCAGAGTAATGAAAAATTATCACAATTTAAAATGGTACCACAATGGTATAAAATCATTTCTGTTCCTTTTCTTACGTCACAGATGTTTAGAATACTGACTAAATTTTTGTGTTTTCTCCCAATAAAGAAATAGGCAAGATTTTATGAATTGGTTAATGTAAAATGTATGCCAATAATTAAAAAACAATTTGGGAAAAAGAAAACCTAACACTCCCAGCAAGAGAAATATGAACACTTGGCTATAACAATAAGCAAAGAGGAATGACTATTAAGGAATGCTTCAAGATGTTGTCAACATATCTTAATGTAAAAATAATACCCCAAAAGAATTACAAATGATAACAAATGGATAATAAAAAACAATAAACATTTATGGATCATCTAGTATATGCCCAGCACTGTAGTGGGCAGCAAAACATGCAAAAAAATATATACATATACATATACATATATATATATATATGTGTGTGTGTGTGTGTGTGTGTGTATATATATATATATGTATATGTATATATTATACCACAATAGCATCCAGATTCTACAACAAAAGACTTTTAAATAACAAGCTAAAATCACATATGTGCCTTTGAAATGTATAAATTTTTCTTTACAATAAATTGACTTCACCGTGTTCTGCTGAGGCTGAAATTAAAATTAGTTTTCCTAAAGCCCCCTCAAATCCTGACATGAGGAAACACTATGACTTGTAAAGACAAGTCAAACAACTTACAAATAGGTAATATTATGCTAATATTATATACATTATGTATTACATGTATATATTACAATGTATTATCTGCTGGTAGATAGTAATTTAAGGTGAGCCTTTTTTCTCCACTGTTTTAACCACTATCAACAACAACAAAAAAAGCACTGAGCTAAAAAACATTTTAATTAAAAATTTAAAAGAATTTTAGTTGCATTTCATTTAATATTAATACATTTGGGTGAGTCAGTCAGCTAATATAAATAATGAGTAGAAACACAAAAATTACACTGAGCCAAAGTCTCACTGCTATCAGAAAAGTCACAAAGAACATTTACCTCATGACTCCCACTCTCCTCACTTAGCCCATGACTAAATTTAAACCATTCCTGTAAGAAGAACTGTTCTTTGAGAAGTGGAAAGAATATTTCATGCATAGTATTAAAGAAAATGAGCTTCTGGATAAAGAAACACAGAAGATGGAAAAAAATAAGAGCTGCTTATAATATCACACTGTTAACTTTAAATTCCAATTTCCTAATTCTCTCAGGCCATAGTTATTCTTCTAGTTTTAGAAGAGAGGAGATAGGCAGTTCTTCTAATTAAGCTCCCTCCCACTTGAAGTTTCAGTCTTGTAAGGCTCATTCTGTTTTTATGCTAGCCTGAAAAATCTGCTGACAATGAAATTTCCACTTTAAATATTCAGCATGACTTTAAATGGGTTTCTTCAAATTACTCTTCAGTGGACCTTTAAAACCACAATTGGAGAGATAAAGGTAATTAGAAATAGCTATGTAAATGGAGTTGAATCTCTCAGATGTCCTCCAAAATGTAACATACCCTGCTCTTACCCAGTTTCCCTTAGGATGTTGAACAGTTCAACCATTTATCATTACACATCAGTCATTCCATTTGCACATCACAAGATATATCCCTGCCATTCCAATTAGTATCCTACTGTGTCACAGGAGATAGAACGTTAATCACAAGAGCTACAGCAGTTAAACTGAAATAGTGTACATGAAAAGGATATACAAAATGACAAACGGAGAGACTCTTTTCAAGTCCTGGCCAAGCCACTTAATAGCAGTGTGACCTTAAGCAAGTCCCTCAACCTCCTCTCCTCATCTGTTGTGAAAACGAAATAATCACAAGAGCACTTAATAAGCTGCAGGCACTATACAAATACAAGGAAACATAATGATTACAGCTATATATGTAACAGTTTAGAAAACATTGATCCAGAATAATAATTGAGGTCTACGCCAACATAAAATACTTATTCTCCATACATCCTAGTAGAGCCACATGTCCAAGAGAGGTCAAGTGATAATCCTTAGAGGAAACGCGCTATCCTGGCCAGTGGGGAGTATCACAACCTCTAAAGTGATCAGGTACCTTTCTGTTAATTAGATAAGTTCTTTATGCAAATATAAGCCTGATGGAGTCAGATGATAGCCAAAAACACAATTAATGCTGGTGGGAAATACAGTAAAATTTCAAATTAGATTTATGCTGTACCACGAAGAATAATATTTGTTCACTGGAAACATATCATTGATTACAAATGCTAATGGATGAAAGTATTAGGAAGATCCTGGGATAAGCTAAGAAATGGTGGTACAGATACATTCAAATTCCTAAAGAAATTGAAACATATTTTCATTTATGCATACTGCTAATCACAACAAAAAATTTACTTAAAAGAAGTGTAACAGTCTCATGAATTTGGTGTTCTATTTTTAAGCCTGGCAAGCAAAAAAACTTTTTAGAAGTATGTTAGACGAGTTCTCTGTTGCTAAGACGAACAACTTGAGATATAAGAGGCAACATCTTACAAAGATCACAGAGATACAACAGTCATAGGTTAATTCAAATGTCCATTAAGGTCTTCAGTCATCAATAACTTCTGGAATCCAAAATGCACATGCCTAACAGAGTTAAAAAGACACTCAAAAATTTTAAAATAAAAGTCAAGTAAATTATTTAATCCTCAAAAAATTCATTACTCACAGATAATGATCAGGATCAAACTTGGCCAGCTCAGCGGCCAGGCGCTTCTGTCTTCGTTCAACAGCAGGGGTGAAATCTGGATCCTTAATATCAACAACATCACTCAATTCATCCTGTAGACATCCAGAAAAAAAAGAATAATTGCTATGTCCTATTTTTAGCATTTAAAAATCAAATTTTGCACAAAAAGCCAAAGCACAGAAAGAACCTAACTGATCAGTAAACCATGACGCCACCTGCGACATTTAGATTCAAATCCAACAAATGCTTAAGTACCTACTACTTGGTAGGCCCTGTTAGATCTTTCTCATAAATTACCTCATTTAATACTTACAACAAACAAGCTGATTGACATATATTAAGGCTATAAAAGCTTAACATAAAAAACAGGAATAAACCCCCACAGGCAAGCAGGAACATTTAATTCAACAACCATTTCCCCATTTACACCTAGAGATTTGAAAGTTATTAAATGTAGAGTGTCTTGATTATCAGACATCTACACCTAAAGTCTTTTCTCTCTTCCTATAGTCTAGCTCAGCTGGTCTAAAGAAGCATTACCATACAGATTGAATATCCCTTATCTGAAATGTTTGGGACCAGTCTGTTTTGGATCTTGAATTTTTCTAAATTTTGGAACATTCACATTACACCAGTTAAGTAGCCCTATTCCAATAACCCCAAATGCAAAATACTCCAAAGAGTATTTCCTTTGAGTGTCATGTTTGTGGTCAAAAAGTTTTGGATTTTGGACCATTTCAGATTCCAGATCCTGTAAAAGACTATATACAGGCTGGGCGTGGTGGCTCACTCCTGTAATCCCAGCACTTTGGGAGGCCAAAGCAGGTGGATCACTTGAGCCCACGAGTTCGAATCAACCTTGGCAACATGGTGAAAACCCATCTCTACAAAAAAAATACAAAAATTAGCCAGGCGTGGCCACTCCTGCTTGTAGTATCAGCTACTTGGGAGGCTGAGGTTGGAGGATGGCTTGAGCCAAGAAGACGGAGTCTACAGTAAGCCAGTATCATACCACTGCACTCCAGTCTGGGCAACAGAGCCAAACCCTGTCATAAATAGTAAATAAGAAAAAATAATTTTTATGAGCAATTTCGACACACAGTATATGACTTTCCATTGAAAAATGTAAAAACCAAATCCTAAGAATCAATTTTCCTATAATTGCCTTTACCTAGATGTGTATACATTGATATGGAACATGTTTCCCAAGCCAAATCCTACAGAATAAATGCACTTTAGAAAAACTACCTAGGATAACATATGGTCTTTATTCTTTTCACCAGGATTGTGAATAAAGAAACCTTATACAATGTGAAATACTCCTAAAACTGTGTCTTTGTTTCTTTCTTCTGTCTCACTACTCCTGCTACCAACCTCAAGTGAGAAGTACAGATATTGGAAGAAGCTTAAAGAATATTAGCTGAAAAGAAATCAAGGAAAATAACTTAGAGAATTGAGGAAACAAACTGTTAAGACATTTATAAACAGAATTACAGGTTGGTACCTAACAGGCAGGTTTAAAAGTTGACGGCTATAACGCAAAAACCACTGAAACAAACGTGAGCAACGCTGAATCAGTCAGAGACAGGATACAGCCTCTTCACACAAGCAACATTTCCATATAATCATTTTAAAATTCTCTCATCCCGATCACAATCCATTTAGCTTAAGTAGCATCAATAATATTTCATCTAAGCACATACTAATATAATAAAAGAGTTCAGAGACCTTTTTAGAAGTCACTGGAACAGGCCAGTTGTGATGTCTCACACCTGTAATCCCAGCACTTTGGGAGGCTGAGGTGGGCAGACTATCTGAGATCAGGAGTTCGAGACCAGCCTGGCCAACATGGCAAAACCCTGTCTCTATTAAAAAATACAAAAATTACCCAGGCATGATGGTATGCACCTATAATCCTAGCTACTCAGGAGGCTGAGGCAGGAGAATTATTTGAACCGAGAAGATGGAGGTTGTAGATTATGCCACTGCACTCCAGCCTGTGCAACAGAGCAAGACGCTGTCTTAAAAAAAATTAAAAAGTAACTGGAACAGCTAGAACATCATAATACTGTCAAGTACAAACATTCTGGGCAAAAACCAGATTACTGGCTATCTCCAAACTTACAAAAATTTACAATCCTAAAGTTCCTTTGCAATTTACTTTTTGGAGACTTATAATGTATTATATTATCCTACAGAAATATCATTTTTTTTATTGCATTTTAGGTTTTGGGGTACATGTGAAGAACATGCAAGATTGTTGCATAGGTACACACGTGGCAGTGTGATTTGCTGCCTTCCTCCCCTTCACCTATATCTGGCATTTCTCCCCATGCTATCTCTCCTCACCTCCCCACCCCCCATCCCTTCCCCATTTCCCCCCAACAGACCCCAGTCTGTAGTGCTCCCCTCCCAGAAATATTAGTATTTAGTATTTTCCTTTGAGTGTCATGCTGGTGCTCAAAAAGTTCTGTTTCTACATCCCAGCTCCAGTGTAATCACGAAGATTCTCTGAACCTCAGCTTCTTTACTACAGAGTTCAGTGACATCTCCATTACAGCACTAGGTATTAGCTTCCTCTTTGCTTCCTGTGCTATAACAAATTTGCACAAACTTGGGCTTAACACAATGCACATTTATTATCTTGCAGTTCTGGAGGTCAGAAGACCAACATCAGTCTCCCTGAGGTAAAATCAAGAGGTTCTAGGAGAGATTGTTTCTTTGTCCTTTCCATCTTAGAAGCTGTCCTTATTCCCTGGTTTGCAGCTTCACATCATAAAACCATTACTCCATCGGCTTCTCTTTTTTTTTTTTTTTTTTTTTTTTAGACACAGTCTTACTTTGTCGCCCAGGCTGGAGTGCAGCGGTGCTTGGCTCACTGCAACTTTCACCTCCTGGTTCAAGCAGTTCTCCTGCCTCAGCCTCCCAGGTAACTGGGATTACAGGTATATGCAACCACGCCTGGCTAATTTTTGTATTTTTAGTAGAAATGGGTTTTCACCATGTTGGCTAAGCTGGTATCAAACTCCTGACCTCAAGTGATCTGTCCACCTCCGCCTCCCAACGTGTTGGGATTACAGGCACAAGCCACTGTGCCTAGCCGTTCCCTTGGCTTCTATTACCACATGACCCTTTTTTCTTTCTCTTTTTTTTTTTTTTTTTTTTCCATTTTTGACCCTCTTTCTTCCCTCTTATAAGGACCCTGTAATTAGAGTGGGCCCACTTAGACAACCCAGGATACTCTCCCTATCTCATCATTCTTAACATAACCACATCTGCAAAACACCTTTTGCCACATAAGGTAACATATTCTGGGGATAAGCACAAAGGCATCTTTTGCGGGGAAGGGGACAGGTTTCTGTACCACAGGCTATTGCGAGGATTAAATGAGATAATATAAGTAAAGAACAAGCAGAGGCCTCGATACATTCAATAATGTCAGTCTCCTTTCTCTCTGTCTGCCTCCTCCACTGCTGCTCCCTGTTACTTACTGGTTAACTTCCTACTGAGTACAAAGCCTCCCCTCCGCTTCCATTTCCTCACTTGCTAATAGCGATTTTAAAAAACAGACTTAAATGTTCTGCTTCATTATTTCACCTGGAGCAGAAATAAAGTCATAAATGGGGTATAATCTGTGAGTCTTTGTAGATAACTCTACATTTCAGGGGATAAATGGACTTTAGCTGTGCTACGTGCTTTAAATAAAATGCTAACTGCACTGAGAATAGAGCCAGATTGTGAGCACAGTTCTGCATAATCTAGCCCATCTTGTTGTTCTTCAACCGTACATCCACCATCCTCTTCTGGTTCAAATATGCTCAAGTCACTCACTATTCTTTCCATTTCTAGATCCTGTCAATCAATCCCAACCCTGAGCCTTTGCATTTACAGTACCCTTCTCATTACCGAGAACTCAGTGCAAATGTCACCTTCTCAAAGGAGTCTTCTCTGGGTATCCTAGCCAAGGTAGAACCTCCAGTCTTTTACCTCACCCCATCCTTTCCCTTTATGTATAAATATCTGTCATTATCCTGCTACTGGTTATTTGTTTACATAATTACTGTTTCCCCACCAGAATGTTCTCTGAGGGTGGAGATCTCATCAATCATCTTCTTCACTGTATCCCCAGCACTGTGCCTGGTGTCCAATATTAAATCATCCATTCCACACATAGTGCTAGAGGGCCTGCGATGCAGTAGGCACTGTTCTGGGTGCTGAAGTGCAAATCCAGTAATAAACACACAGACCAGCTCTCTACTCTCATGGGAAGGAGAACTGACAATAAGAAAGCAGCTCTCTTTCCTTTCTCCCTCTTCATCCCCCTGGCCTCCAGATTCAGGGCCTCCACATATAGTGATGCAACATGTACACAGCAGAACATGAGTGTTCACAGCAGTGCAAGCCCCACCCCCGCTTGTTCTATACACAGTCACACGCAGCAGCCCTGTTCAAACTGGACTCTAAAAAAGAAACAGAAACAAACTAAAAACAAAGATAGCCTGGGGTTTAGAAGTAGAAGGCATCAATCAACCAAAGGGAAGAAAAAGGATGGGAAGTGTTAAACTACAGCAGGAAAAAAAGGTTCATTTTTCTTTGAAACAATTGGTATGGCCACTAGTTATCAGAGCTATTTAAAGATAGGTGTTGCCAAGAAAAGGTCATGCAGGATTTAAATTGGGCTTATGAAAGTTTAGGCATAGGTAAGGCAGAGGCAATCCAGAGAGAAAATAAAGAACAGTGAACACATCTGGCTAGTGGGTCTCCTGGAAACAATGGCCTCAGGTCCCCGTGTAGCCAAGAGGAAGACATGGCCAGCAAGCCTGGCGTCCTGCAGTGCTGGCAGCAGCAGTCCCAGGAGCTTGCTGGGTTGGCGCCCGGAGACTAGGATTGTTGCTGCTGGCAGCCACCACTGCCAGAAGCTTGTTGTGAAGTCCTGACTTTGAGCAGGCAGGGCAGTTTTCCAAAGGCACCCTGCTGGCTGGCAACAATTTCAGAAAAGAAAGCAAGCCTGGGGGTAGGGGGAGTATATCTGTGTGTATAGGGAGTAGAGGGAGGAATGTTCAAAGAGAATTTCTTTCAGCAAAAATATTTTACTTTCTTATTATCTATATAAAATATAGAAGTTTGCAAGCAAATCCTGTCTAAAAAGTTGGAGGCAAAAAATATGAAACACTTCTGTAAAGGGCTAAATTATTCAATGAAGAAAAGATCCCTGAGTGTTGAAATTATGAAGAATTTTTTTACTTTCTTTGTATTATATTTTCATAATATATCTATATTGCTTTTATTATCAGAAACAAAAACGCTATTTTTCATCCAAGGGGGGAGGAAAAAGCTGTAAAAATACTGATATGCGCAGTCAATGAAACTGTATGGACCTCTCTTCATCTACAGGCAGAACCAGAAAAAATAAATTTGTGAGAAAATACTATTTGAAAAAATGATGAGGGTTTAAAAATCATTTTTTAAATTAGAAGAGACGTTCTAAAATCTCTTATTTGTGATCATCAGTTTAGTTTCTTTTAGCTGCTTTACTCACAGAAACAGGGTCATATTGTTAAACTTACATGATCACTCAGTTTAGAACCACTTGTTACAGCTGTCATAAACAGCAGCTGTGAATGCAGAAGAATTCTGCAAGTAATTAACCAATTATGCAAAATTTCTGTGGCAATATTTCATAAAACATATCTACTTTAATATCTTCAGGAGGATACATTTGAATTTTTGGAATATTGGGTTTACACTTGATTTCTAAAAGTCTGGTTGCTGCACACAAAGTGCTCAGCACAGTAAATCCCTGGAGCAAGGTGAGCTTCGGGATTCACTCTTTCGGAGTTTAGAATGGTAATATGGTGCACACATCAAATTTTAGGTAATACCGTCTAAGAAGTCTGGGGCAGCACCCATATCCAAATACTACTTCTACTGGAAATTTTTTACTATGTACATTAAGTGGGATTAAAAAACTTACAGAAGTTCAGGTCAAGTTTTGCCACCAAATTAAATACCGTAAAACTTTCAGTTTTCAGAACTTTTTGTGATCCCAGTATTGCACATATGGGGTTATAAACCTGTACTACAAGTAGTATATTATTTATATTATAAAACCCTTAGAGTTTTCTCAAATGCTCAGCTGTTTTTCCCCTACATTAGGGAATACACAAATTGTTTAGAAAACCAATGCTCACGCAACTAAAATTTGAAGAAGAGTTTAATGATTTTAAACAAGCCATTTTAAATGCTTAGAATAATAAACATTAAATTCAGTGGTTCACTTCCTTTTTTTTTTTTTTTTTTTTTTTTTTGAGATGTAGTCTCACTCTGTCATCCAGACTGGAGTGCAGTGGGCATGATCTCAGCTCACCGCAACCTCTGACTCCTGGGTTCAAGTGATTCTCCTGCCAGCCTCCCAAATAGCTGAGATTATAGGTGTGTGCCACCACACTCCCCTAATTTTTGTATTTTTAGTAGAGACAGCGTTTCACCATGTTGGCTAGACTGGTCTGGAACTCCCGACCTCAGGTGATCCACCTGCCTTGGCCTCCCAAAGTGCTGGGATTACAGGCATGAGCCACCGTGCCCAGCCACAGTGGTTCATTTCTGATGAGAAATAGAGGGATGTAAACAGGAAGGGAAAGACAAGAACTTCAATTATATTGGTTCATGTTTAATGTTTTTAACCTAAGGAACAGGTATCTAGGTATTTGATATATTAGTTAAGACATTTAAAAAGAAAGCATAGCAGCTTTAAAAAGAAATCAACTTAAATTATTTATTAAGTGAACATTTTCAAAATACAAGTATTTCTGACCTAAAAGGGACTCATTCTAGGCTCACATTATGGCATTCCTGCAACATCTCAGCAACTTGTCAGAAATCCTTCACAAGGAGTTTCCCTAAATAGCAGCAGCAATTAAGAAACAATCCCTGGCCTCAGGAAGCACTTCTAATCCAAATATAAAATCTGTACTTAGCCTGTGTGACATTTATTATCATTTGCCGATACCGTTAGACCGGGAAGCCCAAAACAGACCGACCACAAACTAGCTCTCGGCCAAACAACAGAGATCCATTCAGTATAGTTCCTGCTATAGACAACACGGACTCTATTCTAATTACCTCTGAGACCACCGGTGAATGTGGTCAAGCAGAGAGAATATGAGCAGACCACAGCTCAGCAGAAAAACACCTACGTTTTTAGAGCGAAGGCTATTTCATCAGCATTATTTGCTCCTAAGTAAATCTCAATTTTGTTCCCTTTAAGGAATTTTGAGAGCATTTTATATTTTTCCAGGGCAGGAGTCTTTATAGCATTCTACACTTTCCAAAGAGTTTTCACATGCACTATCTTTATATATTTTCAAGACAGCCTTATGAAGTAGGTAATCAAATTTATCCCCACTTTCCAAAGAGGAGACAAAATTTACTTGTGGTCAAATAAGTAAGTAAATTGGTCTGGAATCCAAAATCTAAACAGAGGAAGGAGCTGGACCAGAACCTTGGTCTTTTCCCTTTCCTTGGTAAATTCATATATGTCTTACAACAATAAACTACATTCTAGACAGGTGTAATAGCCTCTACTCACATCAGGGATAAAGAAAAAGAAATTGTTCATTCCTGTTTCTTCCACTTAAAACAATTAAAAATTAAGACTGCAAGTCAATAGTTTACAAAACTTTCATCACATAACAATCCAAAAGGCATATTTTCTTCCTTTTTTTTTTTTTTTTTTGAGACAGTCTCACTCTGTCATCCAGGCTGGAGTGCCGTGACAAAATCTTGGCTCACTGCAACCTCCGCCTCTCAGGTTCAAACAATTCTCCTGCCTCAGCCTCCCAAGTAGCTGGGATTACAGGCACGCACCCCACGCCCAGCTAACTTGGCCAACATGGCAAAACTCCATCTCTACTAAAAATACAAAAATTAGCCAGGTGTGATGGTGGGGGCCTGTAACCCCAGCTACTTGGGAGGCTGATGCAAGAAAATCACTTGAACGCGAGAGGCAGAGGTTGTCATGAGCCAAGATCTCACCACTGCTAGCCTTAGCAACAGGGTGAGACTCAGAATAAATAGACAATGGTACCTACTATACACCAAGAATTAAACACTTTGATCAAAACACACAATTTCATTCTTATCAGGAGCATTCTATTTTATTTATATACAGAAGAGACATCATGCCATAAGTCCATGATCCCACTCTTTGGAAGTATAAAACATAAAGCTTTGCAGGAAGTATGAGAGAGGAGTTCTGTTTTGTATTTTGGAAATGTCATGTCTAGAATACTGGATAAAGGGGAGAAAAAAGAAAGCCACGGGACATGGATAAGAGCAGTACAGTTGGGCAGAGCAGCCAATGAAATGGATGGGAACAAACATCTATGTACTCTAGCTGTGTAAGTGCTTTAAATACATTACCTCCTGTAATATTATTTTTAAAAACCACCAAGTGTAAGCACAACTGAAATTATTCAAATGGAAAAACCCTATAGACCAAGATCTTTCAGAAAGACAACATACCTGTAACCGCTGAAATACTCCTGATCGCAAGTTTCCAAATCCATAGTGGTACTGCGGATTCAAAGCACTTTCTGATACCTCTTCATAGGGTGTCTGCTCAATTTCCCAATCGAAGTCTTCATCGTCAACTACTTCCTCAGGAATCTCAGAAGCACCTGAATGTGTTAAATATTAATTTTTTTTAAGTATCAGATTTCCTAGGTACAACTAGGTGAAGGAAAAGTATAGGAAAAAATGCGCACATAGACGTACCAAAAGACATGTACAAGAATATTCATAGCTCCGTTATTCATGATAGCCAAAAAAAAAAAAAAAAGAAACAAACAAAAATGTGGTATATTCACACAATGGAATATTACCTAGCAATAAAAGCAAACAAATCGCAGCTACAATATGAATAAATCTCACAAAAATAATGTTAAGTGAAAGAAGTCAGACAAAAAGAACATACTGTATGACTTATATATGCAACAACAAAACAGGCAAAACAGAGGATAGTGGTTACCTTGGAGAGAGGGCAAAGTAATGGAAGAATACAGGATGGGGTTCCAGGGTGTTGAAAATGCTCCATTTCTTGACAGAGGTACTGTTCACTTTACATCGGTGGTCCCCAAACTTTTTGGCAGTAGGGACTAGATTTGAGGAAGACAACTTTTCCACAAATGAAAGGGGTGAAGAGATGGTTTTGAGGGATGAAACTGTTCCCCCTCAGATCATCAGGCTTTAGATTCTCATAAAAGAGCACACAACCTAGATCCTTCGCAGGTGCAATCACAATAAGTTTGTGCTCCTATGAGAAACTAATCCGATCAGACAGAAGGCGGAGCTCAGGCAGTAATACTCCTGGCCCTCTGCTCACCTCCTGTTGTGCAGCCAGGTTCCTAACAGGCCATGGATAGTACTGATCTGCAACCTGAGGGTTGGGGACCCCTGTTTTACGTAACTCACTGAACTGTGCACTTCTGATCTTACTTCAAGACACTAATATTTTGCCAATCACAAAATGCTGTTTCAATTGGTACAAAAATGTGACCACTCTGGTTCAATAGGATATTTTATGCCTTAATTATCAAAGAAGCTATTTTCATATGGCTTCACACGACCACCTTATAACTGAAGTATTTTCTTCAATTTCCTATTCACTATATCCCATTTCCCCTAGAAACATCAGCATTCCAAATATTTCTATTCATCTTAATAAACATACCTAATTCTTCCACAAGTGGTTTTGCCGTTCTGGATTTTCTTGGTGTCAGAAGAGCAGTTAACATATTCAGTCCTTCAAAATGCTGGCCAGGGGTTTCTTTGGGCAGGCGAATGGTAAAAATTCCTTAAAGATAAATTTGTGTTATGTTTAGATTAAAATATTCAAAAAGCTGGGCACAATAGTTCACACCAGTAATCCCAATACTCTGGTAGGCTGAGGCGGGAGGATCATTTTAGCCCAGGAGTTCAAGACCAGCCTGGGCAAGATAGCAAGACCCCATCTCTACAGAAAATAATAAAATCTTTTTAACTAAAAAATAAATAAATAAAATAGTCAAAGACTTTACAATATATCTAAGAAATACATGTCTTGGTAAAACGTAATTCTATTTTACAGAGCTCTAAAACTATGCCCTCACAGATTTGGTGAATACAAGTCAAGAAAGAAAAACGTTCTTAATAGAGTTTTTCAGAAGCTGTCATTTCTATAAAAAATTATAAATCTGTTAAAGCTACAGAACACTTTAGTCTTACGCAGTATAACCTTCACCTACTAATAATATTAAAAACCCAAGTTAAAACTTCTAAAAATCAAAAGCTTAAGAAGGTAATAGCTTAGAATTAACCAGGACTTACTAATTAAGTAGATTTCTGGAAAAGGAGGAAAAAAATCAATACCTAATGCAACAGAGAATGGCAGCAGTTTTAAAAATACACAGAATCTTAGATACAACCATTATTGCTTAACAAGGTTTTTGGCATGTCAGGAGATCTATCCCTAAAGTCTGTCTGTGGCAGACTCAAATTCTATGTACTTCTTTTCTTTCCTTGACTGAGTTTATCAATCTTATTTAGGCTTCCCTGAGAACTTACTACAATATTTAGCACTCTTACATTTTAAAACATTTTGCCTCTTTCAGTATACTGAACTGAATTCCAATGTATCAAATACAATTCAGCCCAAATGCCTCCACACACACAATCTTCCTTAACTCCTGTGTACTTTTAAAATTTAATAATTTTGTTTCAGTATGCAACTTACCTATAACTAAAAGCCAGTTTACTATCTAGAAAGGCAGTTTCACTATACTTCATTACACATTAATTACACTGCATTATGGTGGGTTAGATCCCTGTCATTTAACCCATGTTCCTATATCCCACCCTTAACCTAGTTCACTGAGGTCAATAAATATTCAATGAATAAACTACACAAGAGTACACAAGGTGTTCTAGATCCGATGACAAAAGAAGCCAGTGGCTTCTATAAAGAGAAAATAAATGGGTTCATGACTAGCTGAAATGATTGGGTTATCACTCATGAGAAGAAAATTCAATCAGCCTTTAAATGCCACCCATGCATAGTTTCTCTCTCATCTACCTGTTATTAAAATTCGAGTTTGAAAATTATACAAGAAAGATTCCATTCATAAGCTCATAAATCATCTACATTTTTTATGATTAATCATTTCACATGCTCTAATTTTTACTTTTAAATAACTACTAAATGTAGAGGAAGTACCCTAGGATACAGAACCAGAGTATTTAACTTTAAAGAATACTGTGAAATACTGCAAAAGACTGGGGAAACTGTAATTGTCAAAAAAAAAAAAAAAAAAAAAAAAAAAACCCACCATCAATAACAGGCACTGGACATTAAGAAACAAGAAGGAGAGATAGGAGCAGATTGTACTTGAAAGACATCAAAAGGTCCCCATGGTATCTTGAAAGATTATTATGTAAATAATGCAAAAAATGCCAAGAAAGAAACTAACAAAAATTCCAAAGACAATACCTTTATCTGCATCATAGGACCCTTGTTCGCTTCCATTTTCTACAATTCTTCCAGGAAGGGTTAATCTGCAGATTTAAGACAGGTCTCATGAAGTCCTTAAATTATAACGTAACATAAGTAGCCAAGAATACTAGTACACATTTAACCATCAAAATACATCAATCATTTTTTTTAAAAACCTCGGTATTTCTTTCACATTTTAACAAACTAAATAAGTTAGATTCTTTCCCCAACTAAGAGAGCAGAAATTAGAAATGACTCATCTTTCTAGATGAATGCCCCTAGTCACCAATAAAATAGATACTGAAAAAGAAAAGCCACAATAAATAGTTATCACTATTTTATAACACAAGTTGAGTATCCCTAATCTGAAAATCTGCAATGCTCCAAAATCTGAAACTTTTTGAGTACCAACATGACACCACAAAGCGGAAAACTCCACACTTGACCTTATCTGATGAGTCACAGTCAAAAGCAGTCAAAATTTGGTTGCATACAGAAAATTATTTAAAATACTGTATAAAACTACCTTCTGGCCATGTGTATAAGGTGTATTTAAAATAAATTTCGTGTTTAAACTTGAGTTCCATCCCCAAGATATCTTACTATGTACAAATATTCCAAAACTCTAGAAAATCTGAAATTTCAGATAGGGAACAATCTATACAGATAAGGGATACTCAAAGGGAAACAATAAAAGAAACACAAAACCAATTGTTTATATCAGGCAAATTACTACTTTAAAAAAAAAAGCAGAAAGCAAAAGTGTCAAATCTCATTACTATTAGGTGGGGATTTACCCCTCTTTAGTACTAAAAGAAATGAAGTGATTTCCCTGCTTCCAGTTTTACCCTAGTTCAATGAGTCTTTCACTGAGGCCCCAAAAGAATTTTTCTAAAACAGAAATCTAATTGTCACTTTTCCATTTTAAAAAGCGTCTATGCCTGCCTGATGTTGCCTACGTAATTTAAACTCATCAGAAGAGCATATCAGGCCCACTCCATATCATTCCAAACTTGAAATTTGAGCTTCCTTTCCTCTCATGGCCCTCTCCCTTGTTTCCTACTAAATATGATTAAAAACAAAAACACCTGACAGTCCCAAAAGGCCCAGGTCCTTTAACGCCAAGGTTTCCTCCAGCTTCAATGCATTTTCAGAATGAAAATCCCTCTAAGCCAGAATAAGGAGTCAGTTTATGGGTGAGTTTGTTATAATGGTTACAAACACTAACTGAGTGTCAGAATCTGAATTAAGTCCTAGATCTGCCATTTACCAGCTGTGTAACTTTCTTTGGACCAGTTAATTATCTTGAAGAATCATAAATACCTCTTTTGTAAAGGGAGGAAATAACAGTAACTATCCAAGAGTTACTATGAGCATGAAATGATAATGCAAAGAGCTTAGTGGCAGGCACAGCAGGTGAGCACTGAGAAAATGTGAGCCCTTTTTTTTTTGAGACAGAGTTTCGCTGTCGCCCAAGCTGGAGCACAGTGGTGCAATCTTGGCTCACTGCAACCTCGGCCTACAGGGTTCAGGAGATTCTCCTGCCTCAGCCTCCTGAATAGCTGAGATTACAGGCACCTGCCACCATGCCCAGCTAATTTTTTGTATTTTTAGTAGAGACAGGGTTTCAACATGTTGGGCAGGCTGGTCTCAAACTCCTGACCTCAGGCAATCCACCCACCTTGGCCTCCCAAAGTGTTGGGATTACAGGCAAGAGCCACTACATCTGGCAGCAAACTGCATTTTCAAAGAATGCCCATCTCAGAGCACTCTTCCCAACCATGAAGGTCTATGTCTCCTCCCCTTAAAATTAAGCAGGATCTGGGACTGTTTTGATGAATACAATAAAGCAGAAGTGACACCAGCACTGGAGCTTCAACATATAAATTTGGGAGCAAGAGTGGGGAGTGCCCACAAATATTCTGTCCATGGTAATGGGTAAATTAATAAAACCTCATTGTAACACTGTCCTAAAATCAAATGAGATAATCCACATAAAGCACTGACCTGGAGTAAAAATTCAATAAATATTTGCTACCACCATAATCATCTTCTTCCTATTCTTCACATCTTGGCTTAAACATCTCCTCCCCAGAAAGGCTTTTCCTGACCACTGCATAAAATATGGGCCCCTTTTCATTCTGTATCAGTGCACTGCTTTCTCCTCATAACACTTACCACAATTAGGTACACTGTTAGTTTATTGTTTTCCTCTCCCCAATGTAAAGTACATGAGGGCAGGACTTTGTCTTGTTCAGCACAATAATCCCAACACTGAAACTCAATAAATAAATTTAAGAAATAAGTGAATTTAAAAACTGGAAAGTGCAGTATATTCAAGTAGGTACGTTATATGGTCTAATGGAAATCTGAGCAAAACTGGCTCAGGAACAGTGAAAAAACCACCTTGACTGGTGGAGAAGGTTTGTATCACAAAAGTACTTGGGCAGGAAAGGTAGGCTGGAGCTACACTTGAGAAAAATTAGGAGGATGGATAAAGAGACGGACAGGAATTGGCAGTGTTTTAGGAAGACTATGTGACAGCGTGTCGTGTGGAATGAGATAAATAGCAGTGCTTATCCCTAAGGATCGCTGTCAAAGTTAAATGAGATACAGCATCATAAAGCACTTAATGGAACTGCTTGTCTACCACATGGCAGGTGATCAGTATTAGCTGCTACTAAGGTTATGAATCCGCAAGGAGAAAAATTTAAACACACCAAGTGCTGACGGTCCCTCATGGAGACTTGGGGCAAACAAAGCCACTTTTCAGTGGCAAAACCAAACAAAGCAGCAGCAGACAGGAGGGAAGCAGGAGAGCTAGGCTAGTTCGGTGTCAAGAGGTCCAAAAAGGCTAAGAACTTCAGGAAGCAGGGAGCGGTCAGCCAAGAGGTAAATGAACAGAAGGTGGCCCGGGAAAAGTTAAAAGGACTGACGGGTTGGGAAGCCTCGGGGATGTCAGCGTCGCACAGTTCCTGGAGAGGGAGAGACCGAGAGAGCGAAAGGAAAGAACAGAACAAGTCAGGACAGGACGAGAACTAGGGCTACAGGGCAGAAACGGGAAAGTGACACGGTCCAAACACCACTTTTTAAAGTGATTCCACAATCCCTGTGACGTAGGATTTTAAAAAGCTTAAGAGAAAGGCTTCTACAGAATCTAGAGCGCACCCCTGAAAGAAGGGGGGCGCTTCCCTGGCACCAAGAGAAGCTGCAGAAACGTCGGGAAAAGGCAATTCGCGCCAAGTGCTCCCTCGAACTTGCATTCTTCCTCTAAGCCAGTTATCTAACGAATGAAACCCCCAAAAGCACCTTTCCTGCGGCCAGGCACCCAGAACTCGCCTGAGAAAGTATGGCTTTGCGTAGAACTTGAAGTCGGACCCCTCGAAGTATACGTCGAACTCGGACACCCGAGCGTAGGGCACGCGGATGGCGATCGTCAGGAAGTCTGGCTCCTGGCTGAGGTCGAACGCCGGGGTCAGCATCGCCGCATCGGACGCAAGGGTCGACGCCGCTCACTCTCACTGCCGCCGCGGCCGGGCCACGCAAACTCTCCGTATCCCCACGCTCAGGAACCCACGGTGTGAGCCACAGAGCTTCCGGCTCGAGGCGGAAGTGCTCGTGCGTGAGGCAGGAAGTCCCGCCCCACGCCTATCTCCATGGAGTTGGGACGCCATTCGAGAAGAGGTGGAACTTTCAAAACCGCCAAGAGGAGAGAGGACTTGGCGAGTGGTGCCTGGCCGCAGGAGTTGAACCGAGGGGATGACTAGCCACCAAGCCTTTTTCGAGGTCCTTAGAGATAATTTTAACAGCACTCGCTTGGCAGGTAGACAGACGTGCGTTTGAATCCCTTCTCTGCCACAACTTCCCAGCTGTAAGACCTTGTGAAAGTTACAAAACCTCTCTATATATTATGTAAAACTGGGGTAATACGAGAACCTACCCTCGTAGAGATGCTGTGAGGGCAGCATGAAATTGTGCATGTAGAACTCTAATAACGTACCTGGCAAGTTGTCAGGGCTTGATGTGCTGAAGTAGTCACCGCAGTAGCCACAGCGGCGCCGTTACAGTGGTTTCCCTTGGTTCTCACCTGCCTTGTCAACAATTCCTCTTACACTCTCCCTTTCCTCTCTCTCTCTTTCCACTTCCCTTTTTCTGCGGCTCTCTCTCTCATTCTTAACCGCTTATTTGAAGAGTTTTCTCTTTAACAGAGCGTCCGTCCCACTAATCTTATTTAATCTGCGCTGCAAACTCTAAAGAAAAACAGCTCAGAGACGTTAAGCAGTACGTTTTATAACCATGCATTTTACAGTGATTAGAACTCAGAACGTTTGACTCTTAAATCGTGTTAGTGATTTCTCTCACAAATTAAAGTCCCTCTGTATTCCCGTTCTTTCCTTTTTCTCACTCTTGTCCTTACATTTGTCTGAGGACATCTTTTCTTTTTTTTTTTTTTCCATTTGTCTTCCCTGTATTTTCTCCCTTTAGAGTGTGCTCCTTATACTCTTTCAGTGCCTCTCCCACATATTCCTTGGCCTTCCCACACCTGTTGTTTCCTGTTATTCCACCACTAATTAGAATAGTCCAGTTGTGGTATTTATTCCGTGGTTTTAAATATCAGTAGGAAAGGGATAAAAGTCGTCTTCTAGGACAGTGGAGATAACCAGGAAACTTCAAAACCCTTTTCAATCTCCAATTGTTTCATGATTCTAAGGAAACATTCTTGAAACTTCATGAGGACTCAGAAAAAAATGAATAGTAACAGGAGCTAACATTAATTGAATACTTACTATGCGCCAGCACTGCAGCAAACTTTTTATAATTATCTCATTTTCCCTCCTGACAGCTCTATGAAATAGGCATAATATATTCCCTTGGATTGCACAAGATCTCACAGCTAGTAAGTGGTGCAATGGGAATGGAAACCCAGGTGAGTCTGATTCCTAGGCCTAGGCTCTAAACAATTACAGAGTTGACTACCTCTGTTATTACCACCTACTTCCTTTGTTTCACATTCTAAGGCCAGACCGCCTGCTTTAGACTATTCTGAGCCTTGCAAGTAATAGACACTCAATATTGACAGTGAATCAATGCCAACTTGGATTTAGTAAAGCCCTCAAAAGGTCCCTTGAGATAGGCCTTTGACTAAATTATTCCAAGTTAGCTTCTTTAGAAAGAAGCTTGGCAGGGTGTGGTGGCTCATGCCTGTAATCCCAGCACTTTGGGAGGCTGAGGCGAGCAAATCACCTGAGGTCAGAAGTTCAAGACTAGCCTGGCCAAGATGGTGAAACCCCATCTTTACTACAGATACAAAAATTAGCCAGGCATGGAGGCATGTGCCTGTAATCCCAGCTACCTAGGAGGCTGAGGCAGGAGAATCCCTTGAACCCAGGAGGCAGAGGTTGCAGTGAGCCGAGATCATGCCATTGCTCTCCAGCCTGGGTGACAGAAGTGAAACTCCATCTCGAAAAAAAGAAAGAATCTTTACATCTACCATAGGACCTCATTCCTATAGGTTACAAGCATTAATATTTTTTAATTATTAATACCAGAGAACTAAGACAAGCAGTGCTATCCAGGAGGAAACTGTAATTGAGAGTACTTCGCAAACTAGAGCTGTACATTTCCTGCATACTTTATTATGTGTTTGGCAACACACACACACACACACACACAGGACTGCAACACAGAAAAATAGATGACACGGTTCAGTGCTGCTGTCATTGTAAGAAATATATATTACATCTGCTAAATCACAAAATGCTGATAGTTTCAAGTATATAACAAGGTTTTGTTGTTTTGGGTTTCTGTTGATTTTTCTTTTCTTGCAGGCAATAGTTGTCTTATTTTTGCATTTCTAATTAGTGGTAAATTATATAAGTTATAGATTCATTCTCACTTAAGAATGTAAAGTTTCTTTTGGCTGCCATGCAGCTTTGGTTCTTTCTCCTACCTCCTCAAAGGCAATCCTTCTATCTATCATTTCAGATCCTTTTCTATTTCTACATCCATTTCTATGGACCCTGTTGCTTCGTGCTGAGACCCACTTTATGTGGGCACATTCTCACACTATAAATGTAATTCTGCAACATGCTTTTTTCCTACTTTGCTTCATTTTTGAGACATAGCTATATTTATTCATAGATCAAATTGAGTTTGTATTTCCGAATACTTAAATTGCTTGAGAATAAAGACATTATTTTAATATTTTAAATTAGCTCTGGTTTAGAGGGGAAAAATAGGAATGCAATTTTTCATCATGTTTGAGCATTCAAATATTGCAGTATTTTTTATTTTTACATTTTCTGAAAGCTTACTTTTGGATAGCCTTCAGCTATTTTAAAAATAGCTTTTTCTTCTGACCTACAGAGGACATAAAATACAATAGCAAGGTGAAGTTTTTCAATGACCAATTTATTTAGGATAAGTATATAACCCATCATCTTTTATTATATTAAATTGGCCACTCCTCTGGTCTAACAACCCTGCTTGTAATCCATAAGCTTCAAAATTAAATGTTAAATTAAAAATGGTTTTTATAAACACTTCCTATTTCAGCTTTATTACCAAGTTCTACTGTTGTTTTTTAATGGTGAAATACTCCTTGCTTCCAGAAGGTGGCATGCATACAGGTGATTAAAACAATGTTATCTCAAAGAATGGAGTTTTAACCTATGTTGAAAAATAGCTTCCTGAATAAGTTGTTTATAGCTCTAGTTCTTTTTCAGAGCCATTTTGGGGAGGTGGTGGAATCTTACACATTACTTGCAAACTACATCTTAACCACTGTTATTATTTTGGCATACATCTTTTCACACTCCTGTTTATAAAAGTATGGGAAGAATTTTAGACAAAATAATATCATAACCCGTATTTTGCTTTCTTGACTTAATATAGCATTATGGGCCAAGCACAGTGGCTCACACCTGTAATCCCAGCACTTTGGGAGGTCGAGGTAGGTGGATCACTTGAGACCTGGAGTTCGAGACCACCATGGCCAACATGGGAAAACCCCATTTCTACTACAAATACAAAAACATTAGCCAGGCATGGTGGGGTGGCCTGTAATCCCAGCTACTCTGGAGGCTGAGGCAGGAAAATCCTTTGAACCCAGGAGATGGAGGTTGCAGTGAGCCAAGATCACAACATTGCACTCCAGGCTGGGTGACAGAGCAAGACTCCAACTCAAAAAATATATATATATATTATATATATATATTATATTAT